CATGTCCATTCAGAGTCAGTTGGGGTGATTAATCAAGCACATATGTGGTTCAAGCAATGAAACTTATGAAGTTAAACAAAATTTGACTGAATCTGATTTCAGTTTGTAACAAATACTGATTACAAGGATTAATTCTAACGGATTACAGAAACATTATCTATGCTTTTGTCACCTCACATAAATGAAGTTTCATCTGCTCCAATGAGTTATGGGATTAATGACATTGGCGAGTTACACCAGTTCAGGCAATGTGTACTTATTTTTATTTCTTATGAATTGACGTGCAGAATCTGATGCTGGTGGTACTTTCATGGTTTACTATAGATGGGGGAGAGTAGGTGTTAAGGGTCAAAACAAGATACAAGGCCCTTACACATCCCGTGACAGCGCAATCAATGAGTTTAAACAGAAATTCTATGACAAAACCAAGAATGATTGGTCCAATCGTAAAATGTTCGAGTCTTTCCCGCACCACTATATGTGGATAGAAATGGATTACAACGAAGAGGAAAAACAATTGTCTGTGAGTATCCACAACTTTTTGCTTATTTTTACATAATTTTCTGAATGCTGGAGATGCTCACTATGCCCTGAAGCTATTCTTGGTTGCAAATTACTGAGGACGATAAAGAAATAGGAGATCCTGTTGGTAGCAAGACAATATTGAATTGTATTTCCCATTTATGTTATATATTTTAATATTTCTCATTTTAAAAAGGTGTTTCATATTTCAATCCTGCCTCTCATAGCCTCAATGTGTAGGGGTCAATAGGTGAGTGTCAGATGACCTCTGTGTGCTGTGGGAGAAGGGGAGGGGTGGAGAAGAAAATCATCTTGTTTGCTCCGTCTTAATTCTTGATTATCATCATCAGGTAGAAGAAAAGAATGACTCTGCTTTAAGAGGTCAACCTCTGGAAACACAACTTGAGCCTCGCATTGCAAAGTTTATATCTCTTATATGCAACATCAGCATGATGAAGCAGCATATGATGGAAATAGGTTGGTTGATTTCTGATTCTCTGTCAAAACATTATTTTGCAACTTACAACTCATAATAATCTAAGTTATTCAGTACCTTAAATAACACAGGAATGAGAATTTTATTTAGACACTTTCAGTTTTTTATTTTTCAGTAATCTGATTAGTTAACTGCTTTTTGGTTCCCTTATTCGGTCAACTTCTTCTTCTTCTTCTTTGGTAGGATACAATGCTGATAAGTTACCTCTTGGTAAGCTTAGCAAATCAACAATTTCAAAGGTAAGCTTTTACCTCTTGGTATTCTGGTTGATTTCTAGATATGATAAGGAGAAATCTTGAACAACTGGAAAGGATACTTTGTGTTGTCTAAGTTAACTGGAAACAATTTGGAACTGTTGACCCAAACAAAAAGAAACAATTTGGAACTCTAGAGCTACTGTGTGTATTTGGCTGCAAAACATTTTAAGTTTCACATAAAGTGTCTTCTCCTTTAATC